AATACACTTATTTTCTACTACACTGTAACTCATTACATGCTCATAATCAGCAGTGACTTTAACATGGAAAATGGGAATAAGTTCATCACGAATTTTCTTGTTTTCAGAAAATTGATGTAGCCTCTATAAATTCATTCCTTAATCAAAGCATGAGATTTAAATGAAATCTTATTCAAAGCCCATACTTTCGAGGCATGGCTCCTGTGAATCACTCTTTCCTTAATGAGTGTCAATCTTTCAACATAGAGTTTTGCGTGTAGACGAGACATACGACTACTTTAAGGAATTGCTCAGACTTGCTGTATTAGTAATACTTCCCAGAGACTAAAAAAGAAGCGTTCGTGGATTCTTTATCAACAGCAGAAAAAGACTTGGAATTTGACTTCTAAAACGAGCATCAACTTTGATGTACCTCAAATTTACTGACAAAAAAAACAGCATTTTAACAAAAGAAATGCGATGGCTAACATTCGGAATCAGAATAATAAACTTTAATTGATGAAAACAGTCAGTTTCACCAATGAACTTTGAACAACCTCAGAATACGTACTCGTTTCATTATCCAAAATAATTTATTTTCGACTCATTGGACTGAATTTAAAGACAGTTTCTATCATAAAATAAGTATGTAATTTAGAAAAAAAGCTAAAAGAGCTATTAATAATGGTCGAATTGGGCGGCCCGTTTCGAAGCCTGGTCGGAGTTATTATATTTGGTACCTCAGAAATATCATATCCCCATTGTTCTACTCTGATTTTGCTGAATTATATTTGCCTCAGTACTAATAGAATCAAATCACTTTAGTTCTTTCGATTTTTAATGGAAAACTATAATTATAGTGCGGAGTTTTCTTTTTCGTTACACATTCAGTGTGTCGTTCATAACAGTAGTATCGGATTTAAATCGGAATCAGTCAAAACTTAGGTAATAGGCTGATGTGTCTGAGATTTAGCGTCGGTATGGTGTTAGTGTGGTCTGTCAGTATATACTCTCTTGTAGGACTAGCTGTTTTCGAAGTCATTGCGTATAATGGAGATGTGTCCCACATGCAGTGAATACTTTCATGCACGAAGATATACAAAATCGCTTTTACACGCTCATCAATATATTCAGGGTCTGGGCTTCTTCGTGACACATTTTTCCTCACTACGAGTGTGTTAGATCGCATGTTTTTCAATGAAACTTTTTACGTGCGGAATTTCTCGACGCTATGCGAGTTAAAAATGATGATTTATACAAGTGTAGGAGAAAGAGATTGCATCTGCTGCCAGCGTAATCAGCCATAGCTCAATATTTGGAATCTTCTACGAAAGCGGAATATCTTAGTACAGGGGATGAGCTCTCCAGTAGTGTCCCTTATAACTGATACTATCGTGATTCTCAGATGCTCTCAGTAAATACATGCTAGAATTCATTGTTATAGAGAGGTGGGCAAAATAAATGTTCGGTTGAAAGGATGGACATATATTTGCATTAAAATATGTAATCAGAAAACACAACGGAGTTCCTGATGCGAAAATAGAAAACTTCTGAAAAAGAATGTTTCACAATCGTTGTGTGCAACGTATCGCAGTACGTCAGACGATTGATNATCATCATCTTGCAAATAACCAATTTTCTTTTTAAGAGCATCTAAACTTTTACTTTTGATATTCATAACAGAGAAAACATCTGATGTCATAAGTAATGATTTAGTGCAGTTAATACTTTGTGCTTCAAGCAAATCAGCAACATCTTCACCAGCTTCTTGTCGAACAAAATTGAGAAAATCATCATCACGTACTGTCAGTACATTGGACAGTAATTTTGATGTATGAATGAGAATATTTAGATCAAACATATTTAGTAATTACTAAACTAATCGAATCGGTTGATATGAAGAGTAAAAAATAAAGAGTAAAAAGAGTCATTTATCATTGTGATTTGTGATGATTCACAAATATAGGGAACCAATATCGATTGTAGAATTGTCATCTTTTCTATGATACTTAATATTTAACGATCGTTAGCGACATACACTCCTGGCCATAAGTCTCTGGATGTGTGATACTCTTCATGGGTTCGATAGTTTTCCATCCAATTTTTACCACAGATAGAGCTTCAAAAACTGTGATCGCAAGCACTAATTCGAACTCTATTGACTGATGTAGTATGGAGTTATGATTCAAACACTCGTTTCAACTCTGTTTACCTATAAATCAATATTCACAGTTTTTATAAAAAATAATCGAAATGATAGAAGTCTTGTTTAATCTCTAAATTTGATGATAGTTGATTTTTTTCTGAAGTGTCTGTATTGAACATGTGTTTCGCAGGGAACTGTAAAGTAAAAAATTTCATATGACTCCTGTTTTTATTTTTCTTAAGTTCACGTTACACAATAGACAAGAAGAAAATTTTTCAAGTGATCCTCAATAAAGAGTATAATCACCAGATGAAGCAATAACCGCTTGAACACGATGTTTCATGCTGTTCACAAGATTGAATGCCAGCTCTTTTGGCAGCTTTTTCCACTCATTGTTTGTAGCATCGACCAAATCTCTATGTGTAGTTGGCCGTCGTTGAGCAACCTTGACCTTGAGCAAAGACCATAAGTTTTCAATTGGATTGATGTCGGAACTCAGGGATGGCCAAGGTAGATTCATAATTTGCCGAGTAGACTTCCGGTGCTTGCTGTAGTTTGATCAATGCTTGGGATCGTTGTCTTTCAGTAAAAACCACTGAGATTGTCTGAAATGTGCGTGAGCAGAAGGAAGCAGAGCTTTTCGATAAATTTTTTGGCAGAGGAATTCACTGTTTAGGTTGTTCTGGAAACAAAACACTTCCCAAATCCTCTTGATGATAAGCAGCCCCAAACGCTAGTTTTCAAAGGATATTTGACTGTTCGGATAACTTTTTTCTGTCATGGTCGTTGCCATGTGTACTTTTGCTTGGCGTGTAGATGAATTGTTGTTTCATCAGTGAACATCACTCGGCTCCAATCGTAATTTTCCATTGGTCTGGCCCATGCTAAACACTGTTGTCGATGATGTTCGCTAAGGAGGGGCTTTGATAAAGGCTTTGAGTACTTGAGGCCAGCATTCTTCAGTCGTCGTCGAACTGTACGGTCACTCACATTAACTTGGCTATTCAGAAGTTCTTGCTGGATGGTCTTGCTTGTTGCATCAATTTCTGCAAGAGCCATGTCGACTATCATTTGATCTTGTTCAGTAGTAGTCCGTCGCGGTGCTACGGATCGAGAACGGTCGGAGAGATCTTTTGTTTCTTTCCAACGATTTAACCAGTGAGTGACCGTCTTCGGGTTACATTTCACGATCTTGGCAATCTTAGATGAACCCAGCTGTGGACCATACTTGTGATAGGCAAGAAAGACTATTTCGTAGCGTTTGTGAAGTGATAGAGACATCAGGAAAGGAGAATTCAAATGGTGTAGAATGAGAAAATTTCACTATTTTACTTTCCTTCTTATACTTTTCCGCACAAAAGTAATTCTGTCAAATTGCTGACTAATCAATGGTTAATAGAAGATGAGAGCGCTTTGAGAAGTTACATGTATACAATCGCATACAATTACAAACAATAAATGCCCCCTAGATATTCCTATACCGCGAAATCAATTAACATCAATAAGCTAAGAAACAATTTAGAGATTAAACAAGACTTTAATCAGTTCGATTATTTTTCATAAAATCTGTAAATATTGATTTATAGATAAACAAGTGTTTGAATCATAACTCCACAATATCTCAGTCAATAGAGTTCGGATCAGTGCCTGCGATCACAGTTTTTGAAGCTCTATCTGTGGTAAAAATTTGATGGAAAACTATCGAACCCATAAAGAGTATCACACATTCAGGGACTTATGGCCAGGAGTGTATATCATCATTAAGATCATTAATTTTTTCTCTTCATACTATTGATTCATCATTCTACTACTTAAACCTATTATATAATATTTATTTTTCAAAAATATTTATTTAGATCTTAATATTTGAACGAATTTTATAAATTTATTATTTATCCAATTTTTTTGAATTTTTTTAAGGATACGAGCAAAACAAAACGGTAAAATTTTTCGTTCAATCGACCATAATATTATTGAAAATGTATTTCATTTAAAAAATGATGATTTTTATAATTTTGTTAATAGACTAGTTGAACAACACCTTGTTGATATTTTATGTTTTCAATCAATTACTTTTACACAATCTCTCATTCGAAACCCGAATGTATTTGAGATTTTCAATATGAATTGTTCTGAACCTGATTTTTTAACAATCAGAGAAAGATCATGTTTTCAACTTGATAATGGAAAATATATTGTGAAAGTTGGATTATTAAATAATTTAAACTATCTTTTAGACTTTTTGAAATAACAACAACAAAACCTAAATGTTAAAAATGATTCAATTGATAAATATCCTGGTTTATCTTATGAATTTATCAACAAGCANCGCATGCCCCCACATCCATCCACCCCCACACCCACACACCCACACCCACCCACACCCTCAAGTATATGTACTTCTGTTGAATTCATCACTACTGTTGAGAAAATCATAAAACTTTTTACTTGTTATTATTAAAAACATAGATATAATTTAACTACCTAGTATTAAAACTCATGTCATGATAGATTTATTTGTGTATATATATAGTAAGAATAAATTAGCATTATTCTTTTTTGTGCTTTACTCATTCACCTAGTTGATATACCTATATGGTTTTAAAAATGAAATAAACATATTCTTATTCTCTTATTTCTCTTCGTCTTTATTATCTTTCAGAATATAAATATAAATTATCTATTTTATGCAGAAATCATTCGTGCACAACCTTCACCATGTGCGGTTTTCGTAGAACCTTAGTGTTTCTTCGCATGAGACATCTATTGTTGGTTTATTGGCCTGAACACAATAATGGTTGTGTATTCGACCAATAGATATTTCCCATTTGATACAATCTATATAAAATTTACAATTTATTTAAACAATATTAAAATGTTTATATATATATCAATCGATTTCTTGTTTAATTTATATCCTCATTTACTACGTATATTTATTCCTTCATTTTTAATGCAATGTTTTATCAATACACCAACTTCCTATTTTCGTGTGATGGACAACTTTACTGGTTTGATTGAATTCATAATTGGTATAAATTGGTCATTGTTTTATACGTCGAAAACACAACTCGAAAGATTACAATTTCGTCAAATCTGGGTAACATTATGCGTTATTCTGTGGTCTTTGCGATTAGGTGGATTTTTAGTTTATCGAATGTTTGTTCTTGGTCCACTAGACACTCGTATTGATGACATAGCAAAGAAATATGGACGATTTAGTGTGATTGCTTTTTGGTTATGTCCACATGCATTCTGGTCAGTTATTTGTTGTTTACCAATCGCATTAATTCATGCTTTTCCAATGGCAAATGTTAAATTCAATATTTTAGATTTAATCGGATTCATATTTTGGATTTGTGGATTTCTTATGGAATCATTTGCTGATCGAAACAAATTGAAAGGAAAATTAACTCGAAAAAAGATATATTATCATCTTGGTTCAATGTGGAATTATTCTCGAAATCCAAATCATTGTGGTGAAGTTTTTTGTTGGTTGGGATTATCGATTACAGCTCTCAATCTATTTTTTCATCATCTTTTGTATCGATATAATTTTTTTATGATAATTTTATCACAGATTAGTCCTTTATTTACACTTTCGATAATGGTATTTGAAGCGACATTAGCATCGGAAATTAGTAATAATAAACGTTTTGGAAATCAATTAGAATATCATCAATATCGTCAACGAACATCCGTTCTCTGGCCAATTACATCAGAAATTTATTTTCGCTTACCTAAATCAATCAGAAAAGGTTTATTTTTTGATTTGGATATGTACAACAAAGGACTAAAAAAAACAAGTTAAAAGTCAACGTTAAAATATTTATGTATATAGTAATTGTGTATTACTTTTTTTTCCCTAAAAAAATATTATTATGAATAATTTCATGAACTCTATCTTCTTTATTGTTATAACAAATTTTTATCAGAAAAAAAAAACAAAATCTTTCCTTTGCATTTCTGAACCATTTTCCACCTGTGATAGTTTTATAAAAGCCATGTACATAAAATATTGAACTGATTAATTTATGAATTGTATCGATCGGATGATTAGATGAATTACTTTACTTGTGAAATAATATGATTAACTCATTGATGATAGAAAAAAAAAAAAAGAATAGCATGATTTGAAAATTTATACTTTTTTCCTAACAATATCAATTTTCGATAGAAAGGAATAATATCTGTTTTTGATATGTCTCATTTGATAAAAACAAAATATATTTAACATTTAATGTATGTTAGAAATAATTTTTTTTTTTAAATTTTAAATGACTTCTTAATAATACAGTTCATAAAAATATAATGTAAAAAAAATAGATATATGATATATGTCGCTCCTTCTGTAAGCTTCTGATGATTGCTAGTTGAGATATAAGTCTATATATATATATGATAGAACATATAAGTTTTGTGTGCAAATAGAAAAAATTCTTATTTTTCCAAACCTGTCAGTTTTTGTATATCATGCTTTTTAGATAGACTATAACAAAATAAAAAACAATTCTTGCATAAATTGATAGTTCACAAATTTTTCTACAATTCATATGATGTTATTTGTAGGTAACGTAATTTATTTTCAAATACTATTTTTTCTAATATTCATCTTAATGAATATTTTGGAATAAACAATTAATGACTGATAAAAGACTTATGTTACAAAAATATATAATGAGTTATATTGTGTTTTTTTTTGTTCACAATATGTGTTAAAAAAAGAGAATGTAAAAATACCTTTTTTCTTTTAAATGTTATTTATATTTGAATATGATTCTGTTCGTAGTCGGTGTGACCACGCGTGACGGAATTTCATTTTTTCAGACTGCAAACCACGAAACTTCTTAGTAAAACAAGTAAACTGTCTGCAATTTTTATCACAAGGAAAGCTCGCTTAGATCTGTAACCAGTAAAAATTTTACCCATTTCTCTTCAACCGCTACAGAGTTATTCAAAAAATAATGACTGTTACGGAATTTCTGAAAATGGAAATTTTTTTTCGGGTGACGATGAGTTAAGCATTTTTATACGAAAGAACGAAGTATTCAAATCAATGTTACATTCAACATTTGTTGAGCTTTTAACAAACTATTAGGCCATCAGATCATTTCTCATCCATCTTAGCTTCAACAAATAAAAAAATTTGAAATATCGCTCGTTACGGAATTTCACCTTTTTCTGAAATTCTGGAGCGGAAGGTTTGAGAACTTACTATTTCAAACTATAAAAATAAAATTCATCTTTTTTCTGACACATGAGTAGTACAAAGATAGTTTTATCTTTCCAGTATGTTAGTTTTATTCTGACAATGGAATTTCATAAGAACATCTAACTATTTTTCAGACAAAAATGCAATGTGAAGAAGTAAAAAATTATGCTTTTTTGACGGAATTAGTCAATAAATCTCTTTTTCAACACCTGTCCACCCAAAAAGTGGAGTTTTTATCGCTGCTCTTATAACTTCCAGCAGATTTGGTAATCGATTGATAGCACTCTTTCAATTGATCGAGACAGTATTCCTCACTTTGTTATTTTAAACCTTCCTCACAGATGGGTGACCGATGCGTGGCCATGCCTTAGTATAAATATATTACAAAATAAGAAAATTTGTTATAATGACGATCAACAATGATTTTTACATTTAACTATTATCTATCTATTATAATATAAACAATAAATATTAAACTATGTATATCTACTTATTTTATTATTTTCATCAAAAATTTAAAAAAAAATGCTTTTAATATTACTATAATTACTGTTTGCATATGAATTTTATATATTCATGAATAAATCAGTGAACAAACCGAATTTAGTTGCAATGATATTTTTATAATGTTTGTAACATTATTTCAAAGTTTTTTAAAATAGACAATACACTATAGGAATGGGCGAGTCCGAGTCAAAACTCGGACTCCAGTCGACTCGAGTCACATTTTTTTACTGACTCGGACTCGACTCGGACTCGGAAATCGGATGATGTTGACTCGACTGTGTGACTCGAGTCATTCACTCGAAAAAATTTTCATTTGCTTTTATGAAAAAATCACAATATATAGAACTAAATTTTTTCTGATTCGAAATTTTCATTTTAATAGAATATACGGCATTAGAATGTTTTCTTCAAAAGCTTTATTCCACTTATTTATATGATCGTAAATCCTAGTCTATACGTATTACAGGATGCATATATGTGTATTGTCACTTTCTGTTTTATTTTGGATTATCTGTGAAGCGAAAAAGGACATTTATATATGAGAGAGCATTTTTTTAAATACCAAAAACTTGAGCTTTAGTCACTAAAACTGTCTAACTGCGACATGATTATCAAAAAATTAGTGTTTTTACCAGCAAATTTACCATAAATGAAAACATAACAAATAGAAAAAGTATTTCTAGTGGTTTCGACGATTTATTTTCTGTAGATTTGCCTTCGTAGGTTGTTCCCAACTTTAATTATCGCTTTTATAAGAAAACGAAAATTCCGTCTTTGAGGATTTACTTTTCGTCGATTACATAAAAATACATTTCATTTATCCGTTTTCTAATACAGAATTTACTTTCTGCTGATTAGTTGAATGAAGTAGTATAGGTATTTTGAACAAGAGTGCCTGCCATATCTTGTTCAAGAAATGACTTATTCTCTAATTTAACACTATCTCGAGATAAATAAGTTCAAATAAAAAAGTTCTTTTTTGTATTGTGTGGTAAGTACATTGATCGACTAGCTTCTGCGGTAATTACGGCTTCGACTTGTTAGTATTTTTTGATATAGAAAGTTGTTATAAGCCACGCTCGTATTCACGATCAAATAAGATTAGAAAAGTTGAGTTTCAGTTATTGGAATATCTTGTTCCGTTTTAATTAATTTATGCTTCGGCTAAATTGGCGATAAAACACTGAGATTTTTTGTTGATCATTTCGCAGTTAGACAATTTTGCGATCACAACAAATTTTTTCTGCAATTTAAACATAAATAATAAAATTTTGCTAGTAAACAGATTTAAGTTTATGTTCTGCTCATAAAGAAATGATGCGTTTGTGATTTTGGTGTGGAATTCTATTTCAGGGAAGAGTTCGTCTTGATGTTCGGTTTTGTTGATAAATCTATAGTAGCTATACCATTTTATCTTGTGTAGGATTATTCCCTTCTTTTTGTGCATAAAAAATAAAAACTAGATATCATCTGCTGAAAAACTCATTGTTAATGTTCTTTAGCCAAATAAATAGAAAAGAAAAAAAATAACAAAATTAACTTGACTCGACTCGACTCGACTCGGAAGTCTCGATGACTCACTCGAAAAATGGCTTGACTCGCCCATCCCTGATACATTCTTCTAATATTTTTTATTATTATCATGATTTCATTGTGTATAAATTTTTTTGGTTTTGTAATGATGAGAAGTTTCTTTGTATTTCTAATCAACACAGTGATAACTAGTTTAATGAAAAGTATTCTTGATTAATAAACCAGCGTCACAATAGAAGAAATGATCAACGATAATATTTCATTTACTGAAATAAGCTAATACTTTTTCAATATAATCATCCAATTCATAAAGTTAAGTTTAAATAGTATGAAGATACTACTGGATTAGCTTATTATTATTATTTATGTTATTTTCCCTAACTGTTCGATATGTGTGATGAAGTTTTCTTTTCTTTGATTTGAACATCATTCTTTTTTCTTTTATTTCCAATAGATATATAGTAGACCATCGTTTTTAATAAAACATAATGAAAGAACAAATTATTCTAGTCATTGTTTTTTCATCTTATATTTTTCGTGAGAATAAGCTCCATACTTATAATCAGCTTCAATCTTCAATAAATATTACTTGAATAAATGTAAAATTGTTTTCGTTCATAGACCTCTTTTAAAAAATAATATTTTTTCTTTCGATAGCGACAAGCATTTTAGTATATAAACAAGGAAAAGTTAACAACCAACAATATTACAAACATGAAGAATACAACAAGCACATCATGCTGAAAAAAAAACGTTTTTTTGACCATTTTTATACCAAGTTTTATTATTCTTTCCTTCACAAACATGTTTTTCAGCACTTTCATTATTGTGCTTTATTTAATTGGCCGAGACTCATTGACAGAGTTTTAGATAAAACATAATACTTTTCAACCAAATATGTCGAAAGTTATTATCCAAAATAATAAATCTACAGTATTGTCCAAGACTGTTCATCATTTAACACACGATTATCCTATATTGTCGAAAATAGTTAGTGAACTTAATCAAATATATTTTTAAGATGGATAAACACTATTAAAAAAATAATGTCATCAGAGATATTAACCGTTGACTATCAATCATACTTGAATAAAATGTCAATGACCATGTATTGTTTGTCTTAGTAAGTGTTCTGGTAATTATATCAATGAAAACCTTTTAATAAGTAGTTTTTTTGGAAGTCATGTCTTTCACATATTGAACTCATATCTATATTAAATGGCAAGCTTCCCATAATACCTATGCTATTGTTAGAATTACACAATACAAAACGACCGATTCACTCGAGATAATCACTTTCAAATTGTATTCTATAAGACTACACCTAAGATTGTCTAATATGTATATTTTGAAGTATAGAACAGAGATATTTTTAAGCTACAATTGTTATACAAAATAAGTTTTTGTTTATATTTATTTTATTTATCGGCAGAGTTATTTCAGTTAAATTCTGAAATCAGTATATGGATCCATTTTCTTATTACTGTTAGTTTTTTTTTCTATATAGGTGTATCCAGATTGAGTGTCCTTTTATCTGTTTCACATTTCTTTTATTCTCTTTCCTGGGTAGATAAACAATAAATTAGGTTAATATAAGTATTACCTTTATTGAGGCTATACTCAAAAACTATGCATGGCTTTATGGTACGAAAAACCTGAATGTATGAAGCAGTTTTTGAAATTTTTATTTTATATAAATTCATAGACTCATCGATAAAAATAACAATGCCAATGACTATATTTGATCATAGAACTCTTCTTAACAAGGGAGCATAGTATATTTATTCATGTTATTTACTACATTAGAAACATACTGATTAAATCAATCAATTTCTATGATATTCTTATTCTAATACAAAAAAATTTATTGAAGCCTACCTACACTTACGGCTGATATATTCGATGATGTTTTTCTTATACATAAAAATAATTCATAATCTTAAGTCATTTTTATAGTGTCTAGTTTTCGAGAAGTTCCTTAAAAAAAAAGAACTCAATATTTTAGCTTTTATATGCTCAATAGAGTTTATGCATGAGCATCTTCTTAATCGTTATTGAATCGATGAATACCCATGTAAAGAATAAAAAATATAGCAATTTACTAAATATGATTTTTAAATAAATATTTTGTTGGATGTTTTTTTTTCAATTTAAAACAAACTTCAATATTCATATATATTCATTTTTATCCAAACTTATTAGTTTCAAATAATTAAATATGATTGACTTACCATATGTCGTCAATATTTATTAAAAAAAAGGAAAATATTTAGAAAAGTACAAATGATTTTTTGTCTTTTTATCTCCATCAAAATCTATCCAATATTTTTTACGCGCAAAAAGTTCCTCGAAAAACGTAACATATGTTTATCAAACTATGAATATTCATAAATGTGATTTTCATTCATAGTCATCATTAGTTCATGTTAGTTTTCTTTTTGTTGAGGACTATCAAATAGATTGATAGAAAATAGAAAAAAGAAAGCAATTGTACTATTTCTTAAAATCAAATAAAGTTGTTAAATAATTTGAGAATGTGATTCATAGAAATTCGTAATCCATTTATCAATTTCGTCCAAATCATAAGTAAAAGTTTCTTTGTCAGGTTCAGCTTTCAATATCAATTCACCTTCATAAATGACAAAGAAACGAAATGGCCATGATCCATAAGTATTAAGAAAAGTATTATTCATATCATCGACAAGCATAGGCATTTCCAAATTAAAATTCTTTTTGAATTTTTGGGCATTTTTAAGTCGCTGTTCAAATGTTTTTGGCTGATCTACACATGATATTGTCTCTCCAACTGGCCATTCATCTCGTGAATGTGCTTCAGCAATATAAATTGCAACGAGATGTATACCATTCGGCATATGTGAGCGAGCAAGCGCGCTAATTATCAATATCAATGTTTCACATTTTGATTAAATATAAAAGTCTTACTTCATTCGCTCGACATTTGCTCGAAATGGAGGTCATGTAGTTGAGCCAGCCAATATAATTAATGGTTGACCAGCTAAAATTTGTGAAAAAAGATTCGTTGATTGACCATCTATTGTATACAAATTGATATCTCGAGCACATTGACCCTGTTGGACTACACCTTGTGAAATTTTGTTGTATTTAACTAAAAAAGGACAAGTATTCAAAACGAAGAAACTTCAAAAGCAAATCATATATTATTGATGATTAGTATTTTAAAAATAATTCATTTTAAAACACTTACCATAAAAAGCCTCTTTAACAATAGGATCATCTGGAAATCGATGCAAAGCTGTGCGTAATGCATTAACATCTTGATAGCCGAAATATTCCACGACATGTTGTTGAATAAGATCATGTACATAGCTTTTATTTAAAAATAATAAAAATATCGTATTTTAAGAAAAAAATTAATTTATGCTTACGCAACAGCACATTCATCAGTGTGATATATATCCATGAGTTTTTGAATTGAATCAGACAAACGAAGACGTGTTTCATAGAGAATCATTTCGCGAACTACTTCAAGCGGAGGTAGTTCATCTGACGATTTAACTGTATCAAATCCCATATGACCTGATGTGGGAAAAAACATTCGACACGCCCTTCTAGTATCTCTTTGTGATAATGGAAATCGAGGACGTGGTGGTGAAGGAGGTGGTGGTTGATAACGTGGCAATTGTGGAAGAGAATGTTTGATAGATAATCCATTATTATCAGATGATGGTAGTCCTGCAGCAGCTATTGCTTCAGCTGTCTTTTGTGCTATTTCAGCATAAAGTTTTTCGATTGAGTCCGTAGAAGACGTTGTATTCACGTCCATACCTCGCTTTGCTTTTTATACAAATGCAAGGTAACATTAAAAATAATTGTGTGTTTTTTTTTAAATCAGAGAACAGAGGATCACGGAAGAAAAGGAAAAAAACAATATCATGTTCTTACATCACAATATTTCGATAAGATGTCGCAAGATTGTTTTATAACAGCAATGCACAAGAAACAGTCAACAACATGAGTCAACATCTACACTATTTTAGATGAATCATGATTAATTTTTAGTACGGAATAAATAATAGGTTCACATGGATTGTAGCGTAAACTTGAAAGGAAAATTTAATACATTTAATATAAATTTGTCTAATGTTTCATGAAGTTCTACTAAATCAAATAAACATTCCATTTCGATCCATATACATTGATATTTGCTCTCTATCATATTTTAAATGAATCAACGACTGCCATATTGAAAAAACTAATATCTCAAGCAACTTCTTTGAGCGATTGAGTTATTTTTAGTCGGTAATATTTATTTGAAAACTGATTGCACATATGTTCGAGTGGCCATCAACCAAGCTCTTGAAAATATGAAACACAATGTAACTACTGCTCCTAATTACAAGAGATTTCTTTATTCTATCTATTTTAAAACACATCTCTCCACAATTATTTCATTTCAGTCTCCACAAAATGTATTAAGAAAATTGTTCAAATATTAGAAAAAAACGTTATAGATATATCAGCTTGTACGAGCGTAACGCGATGACGTTTTGGCCACAGTTTTATTAACTTTTCTCAGCAATCAGATTGCCAAAAAGGTTTCTTCTTTCGTTGTAAGATGCATCTCTGCCTTCTGCAAAATCCCTAAAAGTATGAGCTCGTTTGAACCAGCCGTTTGAAAATTATAGTAAAAATACATGGCGTAACGCGATGACGAAAAAAGGACAAAAACTTGAGGGTGACCTGATTGTTTTTTATTTCTCTGCGAATATATGCTATATTGAAAGAAACGTTCTATGGATGTTTTGTAGTCAACAGTATGAGGTGTCCAACGGAGAAAAAAATTTTTCGAACACGCTTCTTATTTTGAATAGAAATTGATTTGATTAACGTAACGCGATGACGGCCTCGTAACGCGATGACGATGACTTTTGTAATCATTTTTTTTTCTATGCTTCATTTTGTTACATGTACACCTCTGTGAAGACAAGATATTATTTTTATTCTACTGCTTAGAGTATGCAAATGTTAAATGTTGTGTTTATTGATTTCTCTGATACAAAAAGAAGTCGTAAAAAAAATAAACTAGTCTGACTAATATGTATAGCAATGTTTGTGTAAGGTCGAAAAACTCAAAATTTCAGCTAACATTTTTTCTCGATGATTTATATATGGTTAGATAGAGCTCAAAAAACTGTGTGAGAAAAGGTACTTTTAAATTTTTTTTCATCTTTTATATACATTAAAAAAGTCAAAATACTGAGATTATTCTATAGGGAATGGAGTCAATAACAGAATGATCTCAGTATTTTGACTTTTTTAATGTATATAAAAGATGAAAAAAAATTTAAAAGTACCTTTTCTCACACAGTTTTTTGAGCTCTATCTAACCATATATAAATCATCGAGAAAAAATGTTAGCTGAAATTTTGAGTTTTTCGACCTTACGTATATATCATAGAAACGATAGAGGATTTAGGTTAGTAATTTAATTTTAATTGTACACAATCAACTTGTTAGACCGATCACCTATATTCTTATGGCAATTTGTTAGTAATCAATAAAAAGATACATTAGTCGTAGCTTACGGTGATTTTTGAATAATAAATCACCATCTGAAAACGTCCTTTGACATACATGAAAAACATAGAATATAGTAAAAAACGTCATCGCGTTACGTAGCATGATTTTAAAACACAATCTTTTTCGAATAAAAATATGCGCATCAGATAGCTCGTAAAAAACTAGCTTTATATGTATATTTTTTGTAAAAAAAAGAAGTTGAGAATAACAGTTGAAAAAAGCAATACTCATTTTTCGTTACGCGATGACGTTATAAATAGGGTAGTTTTACTGAAGCTTGCTGCAAAAAAGTATAGCACATAGGAAACCCACTGTTATGGGAAAAGATACATCTATTATCATAGTCTTAATTAGTCTTAATCAACTTGGTACACACCAGACTGTTTCGATATACGGGTTGGGTGAACTCATGCTCTAAATAGAGGAAATTTTTCTGTCTATTAGTGGCCTCTCTGTTACCAATTATCAAATGCAATTTAAAGCATTTATTCACGGAACAAAATAAGTTTCTCTACCCTTTAGACCATGCTCTATAACACGGCAATAATGATTTCGTAAGATATTTATGTCGAACTCCCAGCCATTGAGGTGACGCGTTACGCGTACAAGCTGATATATATGTGTGCCCAGTGGTCTTGTATCTACGTCTGTCATAACCCGTGGAAAAAAGAAGGGGATAAATTCAAAATTCCACCATATATACATCAAGAGTAGTTTTAAACCATGTTTTAAAAAATATTCGATCATTTTCGATACAAATTATATGTAATGATCTAGTCTTCATATCATTTTTTTTTCGTATTTATGATATTATATAACCGTATCACTTTATTTGCAAAACAAATCTTAAAATATTATAGAGATGAGTGTACGATATTCAGTGTGTTTCACTGCGAAACAGTCAACTGTTTCAAATGTTACTGCTAATGATATGAGTCTGATTGAAAAAGAGTGCTGTTGATACATCGTTTATATCGAATACCTTTGGCATCCATGTATTGCAGGGTGTGGGTGGGGTGTGTGGGTGTGGGTGTGGGTGTGGGTGTGGGTGTGGGTGTGTGGGTGTGGCGTGTGGGTGTGGGTGTGGGTGTGGGTGTGTGGGTGTGGGTGCGTGGGTGTGACAAAAGAAGACATTGCATCCACACCCGCACCAACACACCCACATTCATACCCACACCCACACCCACACCCACACCCCACACCCACACCCACACACCCACACCCACACCCAACTGTAAACACAATGTGAGACACATTACAATCTTAGTCATTGTACTGTACTTAATCTAGCGACAATGAGAAAATTTGTGTTGCATTTGTGCATATTTCTGCTCCAATAGAGTAAAAATCTGTCACAAGTACGTCTTAGGAGAAGAACAACAAATTTTATAGATGTTTTATGGTTCTCTGCTCCAGCCTGAAGAAACATTTTACAATCGTTGAAATTTGTTTAGTCGATACAATATCTATCGTGTCTCTCAACAAGAGAATATGCATACCTTCCATCTCTAATCATAATTGTATCGCAATGATGTATGTCTACTACAGGGTGGGAAATAATATTATTCAAGGGGGGTACCGCTATAATTTCAAATAGAAGATATGATGAATTTTATACCAAATGAAAGCTCATAAAAAATGGGGTTTATTGGTACTAAATGATGAGGATTATGAAAACCTTTTAATGTCGACTTCAATAAATTTTCAGAAATTTTATACTCTTTTGGGGGTGGAAAAGTAAAGTGCAAGTAATTGAAAAATGGATTAAAATGTTTTTGTTGGATATTTTTACATGGTTGGATAGAGCTCATCGAGCTCTACAAAACTATATATATGAAAAAATTTCCTGAGTCATTTTTTTGTGTTAAAAAATTCAAAAACTATTCGTAAAATCTTAAAAAACGTTAAAAGAGTCATATTTTTGATATGGAAGAAAAACACCCGAATTTTCAATATAATTAGCTTTTTTTTGATTATTTTTACTCTCTGTGGCGTTTCAAAATATGCTCATTTGATGCAGCGTGAAAAACTGCATCGAATGAGTATATTTTCAAAAATCGTACATAAGGATACTAATGGAAAACAGCTAAATTTAGTGTAAAAAAGACCGGTTTTTTCACTATAAAAAGTGTAAAAAATGTGAGTTTTTTGGTACATTCTTTGGACAGTTTTCAGTGAATTTTAACCCAACAACTCTGTTTAAAATTTTTTTCGTATATACAGTTTTGTAGAGCTTGACAAGCTCTATCGAACCATGTAAAAATATCCAACAAAAACATTTTATTCCGTTTTTGAATTACTGGCATTTTACTTTTCCACCCCAAAAAAAGTATAAAATTTCTGAAAATTTATTAAGGTCGGCATCAAAAGGTTTTCATAATCCTCATCATTTAGTACCAATAAACTCCATTTTTCATGAGCTTTCATTTGGTATAAAATTCATCATAACTTCTATTTGAAATTAAAGCGGTACCCCCCTTGAATAATATTATTTCCCACCCTGTACAATGTAATAAAAGTCATCGTAGAACGACAACATTGTCACGTTGAATAGGCCACATAATAAAAAAAAACGATATTTACTTCATAGTGTCCTTTATTTTTCTTCAACTATCACTCATATAAATCTAGCATGTGCCTCTTAATTCTGAAGAGAACGCAAAAAAAACTCGCTAAACGAGCATACTTCATCCATCGATACAAGGTAAATATATATATATTTATACGACGGTAAATCACATACACGTGATAAATTTTAACTATCAACACAAGATATAACAAGAAAGAAGGTAAATAACATAGACGCAAAATTCGATGCACCAACACAAGGATCACTACTGTCTCCATGAAAAAACACATCCCGTACTATGAAAATGTGCGAACTAAATCATCAACGAATAATACTAACCATATCCCTATAGGAAAAACGCCGGAAAGGCATCGTAAACAGCTGATTCCTGCTAGAATCATCAACCTCGGTACTCTTTTTCTAGTGATTTGGCTAACTTGTACAAAACTCTTTTACAAACTGAAAGGTATTAACTGATGACTAAGTATAAAGATCTTCAATGTTGGTCTCTTTTTAGATAACATTTGATAGTATTCAATATTTATATTTTGCTATTACTAATTATCGATGATTTTCGAAATCTGATATAATATATGATCTTGCTTTGACGATTTTCAGCTAATTCTTCAGTTTCTTGGACTTTTATATGCATATACTCTGTTGGCTAACCCATG